CCGCTGTCGCTACGAGCATGCTCAGTGTGAGGGATTGCTGAAGAGTCAATGAGTCGATGCAATCAGCTGGTTTTCCTTAGATAGAATCAACCAGAAATGCACATGCAGCTAGTGGCATTGCTTTGATTAGGAGCACAGTTGAATAATTGCTGCAGAAATTAGGATTTTTTAAATTGTGTTTAGGGGTGGATAATAATCCTAAACAACTATATATTGCAATTATAATTTTATTCAGTAATGTTGATATGACATTTCAGTCAATTTACATACTTTTAGTACTTTAATTGGGGTTTTATGTCTTATTTTTTGAACCAAATCCCCTTAGGATCGCCGCATAGGGCAAAAAAAAGAAAAAAACTTTTATTTTGGTTTGAAGCTTTAAATTGTGATGATGCCTTTCAAAGCAAGCAGAATGTTTTTAAGTCTTTCTTAAAAAAAAGAAAATGTTCCTCCATTCATAATGTTTTCTGCTCCTTTCATGTTTTCATTTAGCTTTATTCTCTCTGACTCCACAGCAGCCAGAGGTGGGTAGTAACACTGCTCTTATTTGAGTACAATATCCCTGTTTATGTCACAGATGCAATTTCAGCTTAAATGTGTTTTTATACATGTAAACTTTTAAAGGTTCAGGGCCTTAGAACAAATCCACCCCTCTTGTTTTCATCTAACATCTGCAATAAGTAAAGAAAAAGGAAACATTTCTCACCATCAATGTGACACAGATCAAAACCAGAGTGCTAAAACCGTAAGAATGCTCAGATTTCCTTGGTTTACTTTCAGCGTCATTCACCACCTCCAGGATCAGTTCCTCCTGTGATTTAATCAAATGAGATGAAAAAGTTCATCAGACATGCATCCAGTGAGAGAAATACGATTTTCTGAACTGATTTTACCTCCAATTCAGACCAATCAAGCATTTTCCAGTAGCTGATGTAAGTTGCACGATGTCTCTTCCACATCTCCAGAAACATTGTTGCTAAGGAAGAAAAAAATCACACCGCAAATATTTTATTATTCAATAAAAACTGATTTTTTTTTATGTAAATGTATTATACACTTAAAAAAATCCAAATCTAGATAAGTAATTTTTTCTTAAAATATGTGCATTTGTTCTTGAACTGAGGAGATAAAAGAGACATTTTGCCGATGGAACAAGACAATTTACATTTAAAATAAGAAAAAACAATTGAATTGTTTTATTTCAAGTGAATGTTATCTAATTATCTTATCTTAAGAGTAAAAATACTAATTCCATTGGCAAACTATCTCATTTACCTTCTCAAATTAAGGGTAAATACACTTAATTTAACACATTTTTACTTATTTCTAGATCGTTTTTCCAGTGTAAATGTATGTAATTTGGTATGAAAACAGATGTATTTGTTTTCAACAGTTAAGGGAGGCTTTGCGGTTTATTATCTAACAAAATCTATGAACTAAATTGAAGTTGAACTAAAAAAATAATTTAAATTTGTTCTTATAGCAAGTTCAACAGGATGGTAAAGACTACTTAAAGAAGAACTTGTAGGAGTTTACAGATATAATTGAGAAGAAATTTAAAAATTCAAAACTTTGCCGGAAACTTCATCCTAGACATTCATATGAAAATGAGAACAATAGTCTGATTAATCAAATTTATTCCTGAATCTTTTAAAAATTCATTGATATTGTTTTTCTATATCAGAGGTCATGGATTAGCGGACCGCTGTCCGGATCTGGACGCACCTGCTGGCAAATCTGGACCCACCATGATTTAAAACATTTATAAATTACCGACACCAGTGTCTAAACTTAATTTCTCCTGTTAATACGGTAAAGCCCTGGGGAGCGTCCGGCTCCAGGCTGCACGTGAT